GACAAATACAATCGCATAGTAGGATGCTATACACGGGCCAAACTTCAGTCAGCAGAACAACTGAGATTATTCATCCACAATACGAGGTTAGTTATTAATATACTGCAACAACATGGGAATAGAGCAGCTGCCAGAGAATTCAACATTAATGAATCAATGCTACGGAAGTGGAGGAAGCGCAGTTTTTGGCTTTCCCCATATTTCAAAAGTGCTTCATCTCTTTGCTATGACTGTCGCCCAGCATAATTTGTAGATGATAATGGTTGTAGCCGCTTCAACATGCGCTATCGCGGTAGAGCGGTATAGTCAAAATCTCTATCATTGGCCAAATTTATATAGTTTCTATCGTATATCGTTTATATCGCCCACCCCTATTTTTATGGTGGAAATCATTATTTTAAGGAGATGTTTTTCAGAGAATCCATGTGGATGAATAAAAAACGGTTCCAGCAGCTCATGGATGACTATCACCCGTCTGTTTGTAGTCTTGTTGTAGTCAGAGATACTCAGATTACAGCATAATGCCCATTCCTCCTGAAGCTGCTTTTCATGTGCCTTTGTAAACGTCTTCCTCATCACTGCAGAGTCGCTCTCACTCAGTCTGGCACCAGCTTTTCCAAATTTATAATCCCAGTTACTAAATTAATGGGAACCCCCGATTCATGGTCACCTGATCCAGCCCTAACTATATGAAGGTTTGAAGCCTAATCTTAAAAGTAGAGATAGTGTCTGTCTCTTGAATCCAAACTGGAAGCTGCTTCCACAGAAGAGGGGCCTGAAAACTGAACGCTCTGCCTCCCATTCTACTTTTAAATACTCTAGGAACAACAAGTAAACCTGGTGCTCTCGAAGAGACGAGAGCACCATGATAACATTAGCAGCTCAATATGTCACAATCAGAATAATTTATAAATAATAAAAACTGCTGAGTAAGTCTCTGTTTCTCTCATAATCTTTCATCTGTGGTTTGAAATAACCTGAGCGCTTTATTCTCGTAACCAGTAAATCATCGAGGCAGAGGTCGGGTTTTTCCACAGCAGCCAGGTCTGTGTGAGGGAGCTCAACAGCTTAGAGGCATTTTACATGTTTACCTAATGTACAGTACACACACACACAGTAAACACCAGCAGAGGGTGATTCAGAGGGTGGTAAAGCACTCATCATGAAACATCACACAAACAAAATCACTGTTACCACCTTTTGTTTCTCTCTGTGTGTCATGTCGAGTGTGTGAACACACACACACACACGCTGCCACACAGTGTGTGTGTTTATAGACACTGAGCAGCTCTGCGAGCGCTCGCTGTTATAAACGGGTCGCAGTAGAAACTTTGCTTCCACATTTCTGATTTTGTCTTTTAACATCAAAGTTTATTTACATCATTTACAGAAGTAAGAACTAAATTCATCAAATAAAATAGTTTAAGTGAAAAAGAACATGAAAGAAGAGACCTTTCCAAACGATTCATTCATTCTTTCCATTGTTTTATTTCTGCCTTTGAGATTGTCGTTAAATTATCCCTGCACTTCATTAAAGTGCTATTTGGAGTCGTGTTTTTAGTTGTAGTCATAAAATATTTGGGTGACTTAATTGAGTTTGAAATGATTTTTTCTGATTTAAATGAATGAAATAAATAACTGTGTATCCTCCAAGGATTAATTCGGTGTAATTGCTGATTTCAGGGTTTTGTGCTGTTTTTTTTAAAAAAAACATTAAAGTTTAAATTCCTTTATTATTATTCCAGACTGCACCTCTCAGAAATTCCTCAGAAAGGCAGTAATGAAATAAAAATCCAGTTATGGGGATTTAATTGAACTGTAGGTTTTATCATTCCCATTAAAGCTTGTCTTTGTGATTGTGTTGTTGCAGACGCCGTCGAGGCCTCCGGCTCTATTCTGCAAAACAAGATTACAAGCTTTGTGCTTTTTATCGCCATTTGTTATAAATGCAGATGGTCGTTTAGTTTACGTGGCTTCGCCATCAGGAGGTGACCCAGCCAGAAATAGTTTGACTGGACTGGACAGAAACGTGATGAATATGAGAGCATCTGAAATGATTCCTGCATGTTTGCTTCTCCTCTCTGACCTTTCTGTTTGAATCATCTTTTCTTAGATCTTACATGTTGGACGTCCTCGTCACACAGTCCCTGCTAATAAAGTTTATTTATTCAAAGGACTTTCAGCTAAACACAGTCTGTCATCCTGACTAAACACAGTGCCTCCTCCTCCACCTCAGGGCTTCTTAATGCTTCTAAACTGCTCTAAATTATAGCCAACACAGCTCCGTGTGTGTGCGTGTGTGTGCAGGATTTACTGCAGGCAGAGGTGTACCGGCCTGTTCCAGAGCAGTGTTTGGGTTAGGCGGATAGAAAGCCTTCGCGGCCTTTCCCTCGTACTGAGGTTATTTATAGACGCGGACATTGACAGCGCAGAGACGAGGCGGCTGACTGACCGACTTTTTGTCTGCAGAGCTGTTAGTGGTGGTGTTTTCTGCCTTTGAGTGAATTACTGACTGACTGCTGTGCAGCTGCCTTTTTGTCCATCAGGCTATTAGTGGCATCACAGACAAACTGTGATGCCACTAATCAATAGCTGAAATTGATTTCTTGCACACACAAGTCCAGGATTTTACAGCTGACTGAGAGTGGCAAGCTATCACCTCGTCTCAGGATTTCTTTGTTTTGTCAAACTGCAGTAAGTGTGTGTGTGTGCGTCTGTCTGTCCAAGGTGTGTGAGCAGTGAGGCACAGTTTAAAACCTGCAGAGTGAAATCCATAGAATGTACTTAAAAAGATGGAAGTAAAGCTGATTTGGGGGGGGGGGTGAATGCTCCATCATTTAGAATGTTAGAAATGATGAATATGATAGCCCATCGTGGGATAAAATAGATGATTTATGGCAGTTTTTTAATACCTGGATCAGTGCGATGTCATACAGAGTGGCTATTTCTAATGAGGTCATCTCATTCATCCCACCTACAGTTGTCTTAGAGGGGGAGGAGCTAAAGCAGCATGTTTCAGACGGAGGATGAACTGGGAGGTGTGCTGTGCAGCTCCAAAAGTTCAGACATGCTCAGCACGATTCCGAAAATTTAACCCAGCTGTGACAAAATAAAACAGGAAGTAACAGAAGACGGGAACACCTACACGGGGAGACACTGCACACAGGAAACACAAAACACTAAATAAACCAAATCACCTGAAGCAGAAAGCTAACAGAAAGTAGACATTAACTGGATTAAAGTATAACCAAGAGACTCAAACTCCAGCAGATAATCCAAAACATAAGAGAGAATAAGTGGTTTTTGTTTGTGTGTGTGATGCTGCAGAGTGCGACATGTGCTAACATGTGCTAAAACACACAAAATCACCATCAGGTTTGTGATGGTGATAACAGACGCCGCCACATGCTCGTTACTAAATCAGGCTCATCCCACATTAGTAGACTCGTGCTGAAGCCACACCCACATTTCTCTATTTGAGGTCAGCCACTAACCAGAAGGTCAGTGGTTCGATCCTAGGCTGCTCCAGTCTGCATGCCAAATATCCTTGGGCAAGATACTAAACCCATGTTGCTCTCCGATGCATCCATCAGAGTGTGAATGTGTATGAATGGTAGACTACTTAGCACTTAGGTCAGAAAAAAGTGCTTGTGTGATTAGGTGAATGAATTAGTTGTATAAAGTGCTTTGAGTGCTCAGACAGAGTAGAAAAGCGCTATATAAGAACATGTCCATTTACCATTTCCGTACAGACCCCCATGCTTGCCCACAACCGCTAAGAAACGTGTAGGCGACACAGAATCACTCAGAGACAAGTGGTTCATTGAAAAGTGAAGGCTGTTTATGCTTTGAATGAAATGGGCTGTGTTTCTGACAACATGCAACTCCTCAAATCAATAAAAATGTGAGCAAAGCTTTATCAACCTCCTCTCTCTGAACTGCTGACTAGCACGAGCCCGCTGTAGCAATTGGTGAAGAAGATGAGAGTAACTGTCTGTGGTTTTTGTAAAAAGTTTGTCGTCTTTATCTTGGTGAAATTGGAGGAGTGTGACTCGTCTGTGGGATCCGTGCTGCTGGATAAAGACAGTCACTTAACACAGAAAAAAGGAACAAAGACTCAGCAGGAGCTTAGAAATCAGTGAGGATTCATCCCAAAATCTCATGTTCTTCACACTGACATGTACGTGTGTGTGTGTGTGTGTGTGTGTGTGTGTGTGTGTGTGTGTGTGTGTGTGTGTGTGTGTGTGTGTGTGTGGGTTCCTTTTCAGTGTGTGTAAAGATTGGCATTCCCTTTGCTTCTGTTTCTTACATTTACAGCAGAAGCAGCTGATCATGCACCACTGTGTGAAAAGCACACATGCAAACACGCAACAAAGGATGGGGGGGGGAGGGGGGGAGTAACAGGGGCAGTGTAAGAGGACAGACTCACACACGCGAACGGGAACCAACAAACCTTTAATCAGCCAAACCTGAGGCACCAAACCCATAACATGAACGTAAGGTCACAGCACAGACACAAATCCTTCTTAAACCAAAAACAAACCATGACACACTGTCCCGCTTCTCACCTGTGAGCTATTGGCTCACAGGTGAGTCAGCATGCATGTTTGACCTGTCAAACATGCATGCTGACTCTGATCAGAGTATTCTGAGAGGGTGTGCTGCAGGAGAAGAGCTTTAGTTTTAGACATTTATTCATCTTTAAAGACCTTAGAGTTTTAAATAGCCATGCTGTGGGAGGAGCCAGATAGGTGTGGACCCTGACTACAGGGACTAGTGATCGCTGGGTAAAATGCTGCTTCCAGCTCGGGTCTAAGGACGCAGATGGAAGCACTGTGCTCTCTAAAATACATACTTCACGTTCTTAAACCTGACAGGCTCCAATGGTTATGACCTCAGTCAGAGAGTAAGTGCTCTCAGTCAGTGCGTGCAACTCTGACAACGCATGGACATCCTCCTAATGTTTGCATTTATGATGAACTAACTGATCCCGCCTCTCTTTCTTCAGGAAAATCAAGACCAACTACTTCATCGTGTCACTGGCGTTTGCCGACTTGCTCGTGTCGGTGCTGGTGATGCCGTTCGGCGCCATTGAGCTGGTCCACCAGCACTGGATCTACGGCGAGACCTTCTGTTTGGTGAGGACTTCTCTGGACGTTCTGCTCACCACCGCGTCGATACTACACCTGTGCTGCATCGCCCTGGACAGGTGAGACCGTCTGACTGTCTGTCCTCTGTGTGTGTGCGTGTCTGATCTGCTGGAATCTACCACTTAACCTGCACCACTCTCATTCTCATTGGTCGGGGTCTCTCGTGCATGTGTGCACATGAACTGAATACAACGATTTGGCTGCAGGCCACATCAAACCATTGGCTTTGATTGGCTGGCTCGAGGCTATCAATTCCCAAACCTCTGATGGAGGGGCTCGTTTTCTGTTCTTAATTATTCATCATCCTGCAGGAGACTGAGGTGTGTGTGTGTGTGTGTGTGTGTGTGTGTGCGCATGTGCGAAAGAGAGAGGGAGAGAGAAATATTTTGACAATTTTTCTCTGCTTTCGCAGACAAAAGCAGCTCTTCTTCGTTTTAACCTTTAAGTCAAATATTCCTAGCTTGTGTTTTCTTGTCTTTTATTAAAGTTGCTTGTATCATGTTGTTTAGGTTTTTGTAGACAGCTGGAGTGAACATCAACATTTCTTCCTGACTTTTCAAACACAGTTTTAAATCCCACCAAAGTGATCCTGAGGGAACAAATTAAGCTGCACAGCCTCCTCCACCTGAAGGAGCTCTGAAAGTCAGAGTTTGTGGAATATGTATTTGGCTTCACTCGAACTTTGATCTAATCTAATGACGTTTGAAAGTAATCAGATTAGTCGGTGCATGCTATCTGTGTACAAGTGTGAGCAGCAGCACTATTGAAATGAGTCTGTAGCAATCACAGCTAAGCAGTGAGATGTGGGTGAAAGCAGAGCTGCTGAGACAAAGCACAGTTAATCTTCACACTGACTCTGGGAAAAGATATAAAACCGGTTTCAGTGGCAAACACAGCCTAAATGTGTTTTTCAGCTCTGAAAATGCCATACATGACAAAGTTATGAGAAGGCTGGTAAAGTAACTTGAACTGCGACCCACTCCTGTGAAAATATTCACAGTATGAAGGGAACATTTTGCACGTCTTCATTAGGTTATTGTACAAAGATTCAGCTGGTTGTGAGCGGGCCAAGGCTGGACTGTTTGGATTTGAATGATTTCACGTGGAGCAATCCTCATTACAAGTTGCTGTGTGGCCCTGCGGGCCGGTGCTGGATGCTGACGAGCGCTGTGCTGTGCATCATTCACTAATGATGTGTCCATAATCAGAAAACAGGCAGGACTCGGTGACCTGTCTGAGGCCTGCAGGCTGAATGCAGAATAAATGTTTAATGACTCTGACCGTTATTTATCTGTTTCACACCAGTGTGCTCCGTCTCTCACATGTGTGTGCATGTATTTTTAATGCAGAGCCACAAACAGCAAAGGAGGAAATGGTTTCTTTATTAAATTATCTGGCTTCAGGAGTTTTGTATTCCTGTGTATGTACAGCTGTCTCTGCATCCTGGCACAGCTTCAATTACCAATTCATAGCAAGGCAATCGCCCCTTGTTACCCTCGAGTGCCCCGTCCCCTGTGTATGATAAAATCTACTGTGCACTGCATTTTCCTCCCCTACCTGCTAATTAGCTGCACACACACTTCCTGCTTTTAATGTGAGTGACAGAGTGCATCATTCTGTTCGGCTTCTCGATTATAAAATGCTGTTCCGCACGCGGCCAGCCGAGTCTGTGCTTTCCTAACAGTAGCTAGATGGTAAATGGACTGACTCTTATATAGCGCTTTTCTACTCTCCCGGAGTACTCAAAGCGCTCTATACAACATGCCTCATTCACCCAATCTCACAAGCACTTTATCTATACGTAGTGCTTTCTAAGTACATTCACACACATTCATACTCCGATGGATGCATCGGAGAGCAAGTTGGGGTTAGCATCTTTGCCCAAGGATACTTGACATGCAGACTGGAGGAGCCAGGGATCAAACCACCAACCTTCCGATCAGTAGGTGACCTGCTCTACCTCCTGAGCTACAGCCACCCCACTGAAGTGCACACGCTACAAATCGCATACGTGACACAACCGTCCACACGTGTGAAAACATACCGTCATTTTGATTAAGAGTTACAGGTAATGTGATAATTAATGAGAAAGGCTGGTGAGCTTTAATAACATGTCATTACTGTAAGAAGAGGCAGCTGCTTCAGAGCAGTTTGTAAACCGTAGAGCAATAATCACAGGTTGTCGTGTGTCTGCCTGTTGCGCTGAAAACCTGACGGATGTCACAGTGTGAAAGTGCAGCAGTTTTCTATCCGTCAGGCAGCGAGAGGCTGGAGCTCCATATGGTGCCCAGATTAAATGTTCCTCTGATACTGTGTAGGTAACATCCCACAAACAGACACATGGACAGAGGACAGCAGAAACAAATGTGAGCACTGGTTCCGTTACAACAACTGGAAAGCAGAAATTCTTCATATGCAGTTTTACTTCATATGAAGTTTTATTCTGTAAAACATGTAACGTAGCGTCTGCTAGCACACTTTAGCCCCGACAACAAACCTCTTCATGAACCGACGGGTCAGCTGTGCCCCGTTGTCTCGGAGGCACACCCCCTTCGAGGTAGAAATCAAGTGTGTCAGAAAAACATTTATCGACAATGTGAATGTGTAGAATAACCATGGCACGGAAACTGAAGGAGAAACTGTGGAGCTGAACCAGAGGGTCCTCATTTATAGTGAGCATGAATATATACACCTGATAGGGAATGTTGTAAAGTACAGCTGAGCTCATGTTGAAGCCATGGTGGGGCACAGTCTGCAGGTTCTTATAAAAGCAGTAATCCTGTCCAGTAGGTCCAAGTTTGGGCAAAGCACGCCGATGCTCTCTGGTCTCAGGGTGTCACATGTTGTTCTGGACTCTGAGGGTTAGCCTTTTTTGGAAATGCATAAAAGTTAACCTGGAGGCTTGCTTTTGGTTTTTCAGTTGCTTTGGCTTAAGTTGCATTAATCACTGTGAACTATCCTCAGTATGTGATCACCCGAGGGGGGGGGGGGCACTCGGGCAGAGTTTCCTGGCTAAATTTCAGTATTTGATGTTCTGGGAATGCTAATGAGAGCCAGTGTGCTGCTCTGTAGAAACAGCAGAGGTGGTTCGTTACAGGAGAAATCAGAAAATGGAAAAAGCCTGTGATCCAACAGCTGTAGGTCCTCCTTCAGCCGCAGTAACTCACAGTGATGGTTCCTGCGAGACGTCATCAGTCTCTCTCATCACTGTGCAGGAGTTTTGGTCCGCTCCTCTTCACAGCGTAGTTTCAGGACTGGACTTCTCCTGCTGTGAACTTTAACCTGCTAACTGACAGCTACAGATCTGAGGTTGTGCTCCTGGGTTTTTGTCTTTGCACTGTCTGAGGATGGGCTGAATGTGTTGCGACGTCCACGATACCTAACCTCAGCTTTTATAGACGTGTTCACTGCTGATGATCAGCTAATTTTGATTAGCAGCTGCTCCTTTCCCTCCTAATTCCCATGGCAGCGCAGCGATGGACATAGTTTTTCACAGGACTAGGGGCTCTGGTTCTGCAGGGGGGAGGGGTGCTCTGGTTCTGGCTCTGCTTTCAATAAAAGAATGCTGAACAAAAACTTGTAACCTGAATCGCTCCCACGGCTCGCTGAGATGCTGTACAGAGGCAAAAGCATGTTCCACTGTGCAGAAACCTGTGGAGCAAGTTGGATTTCACAGGAAGAACTTTGACCCGGGCTGAGCTCAGTGCTAATCGTGAGTCTAGTAGAAAGAAACCAGGCTGGGGGGGAGAGTCAGTGCTCCTGCAGCTCAAACAACCATCACATCGTGTGGGGAGAAGTGAGCTAGCAGCAGACGGAAAACCACTACAGAGAGGGAAGATCTTCTGTTGCACCTAAAAAGATGTCAGATGTCAGACCAGAGAAGTTATGAATTATAAATCTGTGATAGAAGCGTCTGCTGACTGCATGTGTGGAAGGAAGCATAAACACAGCAGGAACACAACAGAATGTCCATGAAAGAAACGCAAATGTCTCCATCTTAATGTATCATTTTTCCCCTTTGTTTTTTACTACATTCATACGTAGAAAATATGATGAAGTGATGAAAGACAGATGAAAGATGCAGAGATGTTTTATCTTCCATCTGTGAAAAAATTACTTTTTATTTTTCCTTTCAGCTTTAAAATTATCAACATTTAATTTTTCACGTGTTTATGACACACAGACAGGCAGAGTGTATGTTTGCCTCCAGCGAATCGTTTTTATGGGGCGACTCGCCCAAACCTTCATAGAAACACACGTCTTGTTATTTTTTTCTGCTTTGCTATAGGTATTTCATGTTCTGGGTCGCTCACTCATTATCGTTTATTTGTCCAGACATGACCGACAGCCATGTAGAAGCTGCACAAGCTTCTTGACCTCACAGATAATCAGGCTCATTGTACATAACCCCCTTTAGATTCCAGGCACACCTGTACAGGCCATCTGGACTGGCTCTCCATCTGAAGGGTCTGAATAAGCTGAGAGTTGAATCCAGCGATGAGGAGGCACGGTCAGCTCCTAGCTGTCTTCATCTGAGCGCCTGCTCTGCTTCCTCTCCTCTTAATGATGTAAGCTCTAGCCGTGATGCTGGGTTATTGCTTTAGTGGCGAGGATACAGGCCCCAAGGATCATTTTTATTGGCTGGAATGACTGTTCATTAGATGTTACAGACACAAACCGAATCCTGAACTGTTATTCACAGAATTACAAGGTTAATGTGCACAGTTCACTGTTTAAGCATTTAAACATTTAAGCATCGAGTCTGATTATAAATCGTTATATCATCACATCAGAAATCACTACTTTAACATTACAGCTATGAGCTACGAGGATGTCTCTGTGGTGGGGCGTGGTCATCCACAATCACGCCCACCGAGTTAAGACATTCAGGGTTGTTGGGGTGTGTGGTGGCAAGGAGTATGTGCGGCCTGCAGCTGAGAGCTGTAGTCGCACTGTGTGAATAAAGTTGGCTCTCAAATCACACCTCTGGACCTGTCATCTTTGCCACAGTCTTACACTAAATGTGGAGGGAGGCAAAGAGCTTCATATCCCAGCCAGT